GATTTCGTATAAAAGTTATTTATTTTTTAATAATGTAATATATTTATTATTATATTTATAAAAATAAAAAATCGTTAGATAATATAGCTTATTTAAATGTAACAAAATTTATTTAAAATTAATTAGGGTTTATATCATACGTGCATACATAGCAATACTGAAATATTATTCAATACAGCTCAGTAGAAGATTGCTAGCTGATTCAAAGGAGTATTTCCAACAGGATCAATTCTCAGACAGGTTGTGACAGGTGATAACATCTCGACATACTCCAACCTGTTTGACTACTATCAATATTATAGCTTCGATTACACCTGATATGTTGACAGATATTGTACATATTGACTTAGTTTCAATATATTGTATTTACATTCAACTATATACATGACTTTACGAACAAATGATTTTATTCTTAATTAAATTGTAATCAATACTAAATCTTACATTTATTTTCCTTATTATTGTATGTTGTTATATTTTGTTAGATATTGTTTTTTTTTTCACTTTATGCCTTTATTCGCATCTGTTATATATGCGACAATCATCCATTGTTTTGAATTACGATTTGGAATTTCATATATCAACAGTTTAGGTGTTCAAAAACGAAAATACATACGAAACTGAAATTTTGTATTTAAAAAACTCTTTTAATTTTTGAACACCGACTGATAAATAATTTCGTCTTATCAATGTGAACTTGAGTAGTCTTTTTGAAAAAGTTTGATAGGGCTAAAATGCTAATTTAAAATAAAAATTCTTAAATATATTTAATTTTTAGAAATACTGAAAACCATTGAATCTGCTATTGGAAAGAATAGTAATTTATTTTTAAGCGTGAGGGAGAGGAGTGACTAGCGGTATCTCTTCCTATCTTGATTTTAGTATCCATATTTAAAGAAAAAACTCCCTCATGCAGATTCTTTTGAGCCTATGCATGTATTCGGACATGTTAATTGTGAAAAGATCTTGTATGAGTGTGTTAGTATGTTCTTTTAACCTATCGTGAAATCATTTGTTGTGTATAGTGGTTAACTGTTAATATAATAAGATTATTAAAAAAAAAATTCACTGTCGGATTCATTGGATGTTTTTACATAGGAATCGATAATTACCTCGAATTCTTAAGAAATCGATTAGAGTTCACTTTGTAAATAAGGGAATCATATTGTAAAGTAGAATAAATAATTATTTTTCTATAGGTTCTTTCGAACGGAAGCCTAGCCTAACGAACAAACAATAGCTTGTTGTTATAAAAGCCTTAGCGTAGTCTGGAGGAGCAATCGACTTGATGAAGGTATCGATCTATACTAATAACATTAACAACATCATAGGCCACACAAATTGAAAAGAAAGGCCTCCTCAATGTACACACAAGGTTCCTTTATACCTGAAGGGAGGGAAAAAGGGAAAAAATGGGAAAAAAATAAGGCTATGAGGGAAGAAAGGGACGGTGAATTATGAGCTATCTGTGTTCCTGCGGGGCTGATCGAGCAGCAAAGGTGATTTGTCTTGTAGCGATCGGGGTGTGTCGGATCGCGAACCAACCGATATTCCACAATTATTCACGAGCAATTGATTTCGCTTCACGGATTTATTTAACTTTTATAAGGATGGATATTTTAATTATGAAAAGGAAAAATTAATTTTTAATACAAAAAAAAATTAAATGAATAAATACCTGTTACAATACAAATAAAAAAAATGCTATGATCAGCAGGATTAATTTAAAATATATAATTAATTAAAAATAATTTTAAAAATACATATTTGATCTTATAAACCGTATTATATTGACTAATTAATAAATTATTAAAAATAAGCAATAAATAATAAAATATAAGAGTCAAAAATATTAGTACACTTATGAATTATTTTATAAGTTCTGAAAAAATTGTCTTATTGAGTTCAATTAAGTGATAAATTATATTTTATACAATGGATTTTCCAGACATTTTCCTAATGAATTATCTGCTTATTTATTTTTTAATTTAAATTTTCACATTTTTTTTTATTATGCCACTTTCATTGATTAAAAACTATATGTTATTTTTTAGATTTTTAATAATGAATATTTTTAATTATACCAAGGTAAACTACAGAGGCCAGAATAAAAATTATTTCCAATTTTTTTAAACTCTTATTTTCCCGTAATGTAATATTTTTATTTATTATTATAAATTAAAACAGAATCTTATACTTAATTTTATAAATAAAGTAAGATCCTTTATTAAATAACATACTCTTTGTAATTTTAAAATACTTTTTATAAAATAAGAAGTATTTTGTGTGTCTAACATACGTTTTTAATAACCAAATATTTAAATTGTCTACACCAAAAATATTTTCTAGTTGAAATTTAATTGAATTGTACAACACAATAACCTTCTGGATTAGAGGCAAATACAAATAAAAATAAAGTAAGGTTTGAATTTTATAACACACGATAAAAGTGAAAACATCAAAAAAGCGAGATTAATAATTTGAAAAATATAATATAAATAATAGCTCGTTATAAATATGATGAATTTCTGAACTTTTCCCTCGCTTATCGTACGCAGTTTCGATTATTAGTTTCTGAGATATTTTAATCTATATCTTCAATAAATCTCGTTATCATTTGTTTTTTGACACTATTTTTCCCTTTTTGTCTCTCTAACACGGCGGTGCGTTAAGATACAATTTGAATAATATCTCATTACAAAGAGGATGAAATGATGAACATTTTTTAGTTTTGAAATATTTCAATCCATATGCAAAAACACTTCAATCAGCCAACTTCAGTCGACTTTAATCAACGGTTACACATCTGAGATCTGACGGCTTAATCTAAACGCACCTAAAAAAGATTTCACTTAAAAAAATCATTAGGTAAAAAAAAATTAAATTTGTCAGCATTTAATATAATATTTATTTATTTGTATTATTTAATTTATTTGCCGTTTTTAAAAAGTTTATTAAACCCACTGTATTACTATCACTCTTAATCGTGACAAAATGTAATATTACTCAATAAAGAAATGCTATATTTATCGAGGTACTTGATCCCTTATTTATTATTACGGACAGAGGAATAGCTAAAATTATAATACCGAAATGACGAAGGCTTGTTTACTATTTAAATTTTGAGGATATTTTCCGATGCTACTCACTCGCGATGCGACGTTAATTGTTGACACTCGCCAGAGCGCTCCGTTTATTAAACAAAACAAAACAAAACAAGGATATTATACACCGGGGCAATGAATACATCGCTCAGAGAATTATTTTTATTATGATACCAGAGGCCGGTGGAAGAACAACAATTCGAAATTGGAGGTCGTCGGGAGGTTGGCGGTTTTCCACGCTCCATGTTAAATAAACCTAGGCTTCGGTTTCATGCTTCTTTTGTTTTTCGAATAATTGCCCGTGTTTATTCGCGTTAGTCATATAACTCCGAAAAGGACAATATTCACAAAAAGTAATGAGAAGTGTTTGTTTATTTAACTTGTGTCGGGACAACGCTAGTATTAAATAGCAATTTTTAAATATGATAAATTAAAATAGCCTCCCATATAAAGTTATTTAAATCCTGAAAAATCTATAAAAACCTCAAATTAAGGACGTAACATATTATGATAATAAAAAAAAAAAAATATTTATTAGAAGATTTGAGAGAAAAATCCTCCATACGATAACTGGAGCTATCTCAGATCAAAATCTCAATCTTATTAATAATACATATGCAACTAGGTTAAGATGTTTGTGGCATGTAATTTGCGGTAATCCATCAGAAAACCTCAGCACAACTATCATGGATGATAATTATTCAGCAAGTAGTCATTATAAAAATTTTATTGGTGCCGACGTTTCAACCTTAACAGGTGGGTCATCATCAGGGCGTGTTTCTAGCACTGAAGGTATGCTAGTACTTCAAAGTATTCAAGTACTGAAGGTATTAAGTACTTGAATAGTTTCAGTACTCGAAACACGTCCTGATGGTGACCCCTAACCACCAATAAAAACTTCATAATGACTGCGTACTGAATATTTATCATCCATAATACGTATAACAGTGGATTAACTTCTTTTAATAATTCAGCACAACTATGAGTACCACGATACAAGAGACAATGTGAGAGGCCAAAAGTCAGATAGATAAATCGAATTAACATAGCAGAGATGCATGCAGATAACTGGAAAGACACAGCCAAAGGGGACTTAGAGATGTAGCTCGGTAGAGCTTACAATAAAATATATAATTTTATATATATAAACTATTGACTAAAAATTTTATATATAGATGTGGTCTCTTTACAAAGGTAAATTGCTAGCAGGTCATGGTCTCCATGACTCCCTAGCCGATCTCTTTGGGGCCAATCTGCTAGTGTCCTTCTCACCGATACACTTAAGAACAAAATAATAACAGAATACATGAGCAATAACATATCCCTGGATTTGGCTCATCAGAGTCAGATGGTAGGGTCCTGACTTCCAATGCTCAATGTCTCAGGTTCAAATTCCAGCTAATTTCATATAGTTTCATTGGCAGAGGTGATTCTGGAGACAGAGGATCCTCCTGAGACATACCTCTATAAAGTGTGTTAAATTGAATAAGTAATCAAGGGGAAAAACAATCTGATGGTTGAGTCTGATCTCGGTCAAATCACCTTCCTGCACAATCATTGACCAAGAAACAGTACCTTCTGTACATAGTACTGAACCCAAGGCCCTTCGTGAGTTGTAGTGATACAGTTTTTTTTTTTTTTTTTTTTTTTTTTTTTTTTTTCTAAAACAGATCGCCCATTGACCAAACCTAAGGAAAGTTCCTGACATCGTGAAAAATCGCAATTTCTGTTTCTTGGCCATTCCAATAAGCTTGGGTAAAAATATTAAATATTTCTTTGTAATCTTCAAAACTTAAGTTTTAACTTGACGATTTGGATGAGTTATGGTTCTCTGTTGAAACATTAGCCCCCTCCCGCGCAAATTACCCAATGCATTCTTCTTTTTTTGTTTTATTTTTACATTATCGTGAAATTGTTTCCTAATGAAGGTTGACATGAGGTTGAAAGGATGCCGTGCCGTGCCCGCGGGCACGTATCGACCTGCTTACACACGAGAGAGATTAAACCTTTTATTGCCGGCTTCATCGCAGCAATGTTTATCTTCCCTTTGATATCTGAATTATTCAGGGGCAGTTTTATTGTTGTGCGGGGGGGCCTCCTCCGCCGGTGTGTCGTGCCGCGGCTCTCCGTGACCATAATACCCCCCTCGTAAAAATAAATATATATATAGTGCCAATAGCATATCATGCACCCTGTTGCAATCTCCGAGCTAATTTCATTTAATCAGCTCTTGCACAAGAAATATGCAGTTTGTTTAGCACGATATAGTTCTTACAACCGTACATCAGATTCTACAAATTATTGCAAAATAAATGTCAGACATTGTGGCAGGCGTAATCTTTTCATTATTTATTTAAGGTCAAATACACTCCCAGAACTTTTTAAGACAATCTACTAAAAAAATTTATAACGAACATTTTTTTTTTTTGGACTCATATTAAGCAAAATCTGATTTTATAAGTCGATTTATTTAAAACAAACAATATAAATATTTTTGTGAATACTGAGAGTTGAGAGTCAATAATTAAAATTAATTGTTTTCGGTGAACAACTAACCAAGTTTTCCACTTTTCAATTAATATTTTTCTCAAAAATATGGATTAAAACCGTAAAGTTTTTTTCTTTTTTATTGAAGTTTCGAATCATGCTGTTCATCAACATGAACGCATCAAGATCTTTTCGTGCAATTATTACAATTTTTAATGACCTAGAGATGGTTGACCGTGATATAATATGAGAAGGAGTTGATCGGGGGGTGCGGTCAAATAAACACTAAATTATAGAAATACTATTATTTAATTATAATGCCGAAGTTTTGACCCACCTTGAAGAATATAGCATGTAAGTTGCTTTTGAATGTATATTATATATTCTCCTTTGTTTTCTATTTTTGTTTGCATCTTCTATATATATATATATATATATATATATATATATAATACTTGATATTTTAACTACATTGTCACCCGATATATCTCTGATATCATCTATTATTTCTTTACCAGATAACTTTTTATTATTTAATATCTACTTATTAATCATTTATTTTTATTTTCACCATGTACCTTTTATATTTTGTATCTATTGTAGAACTGATGAAGACCTACAAGGTGGGTCGAAACGACGCCTTCCCTCCCCCCCCCCCCCCCCCCCGATCAACTCCTTCTCATATATATTACAATTATTGTTAGTTAATAGCCTACTATAATTGACTGGTATCCATTTTATTATCTAAAACACCCTCTTATATTATACCTTATTATTACTAATGATTGTGATTTAATAAATATTCAGGACACAGTCATTATAAGGTTTTTATTAGTGCCGACATGTCAACCAAAAGCTGTGGGTCTTCATATTCACTGATCATATTCATACATCATATATCATTCATTCATACAGAGTACTTGAATATATTCAGTGTTCAAACCACGCCCAGATGATAAACCATATGTTTGGGTTGAAACGTCGGCACTAATAAAAACCTTACTATAAATATATTAGCTATAATCCTTTTTTTTTTGTAGATTGGTATTAGTATGATAAAAAAAGTATAAATTTGTTATACTACAATTTTATCTCGTTTTACATTATAACAACATACTTATATATTGAATTTAAATATTTAATTTTAATTAGTTTTTCTTATCCGGTCCAATTAGTCAATAAATAATCTTTTCACGCGGTTATTGGAAGATTTCTCTCTCTCTCTCTCTCTCTCTCTCTCTATATATATATATATATATATATATATATATATGTATATGTATATATATATATAATATATAATATATAATGTAATATAATATAATATAAATAGAGATATAAGTCAAGGAAGGAAGAGCGTGCTAATTCTAAGTTGGCCGCAGCAGGCTCGCGTGACAGCACCGCAGTGCTCTATTGCGGACAACCGGCGTTCTTACAGCCTGTCTTATTTCGGTCTTCCTTCTTATATAACATTAATAAATATCTCATTCTTATATAATAATAACAACTTTAATAATATAAAATTAATTAAATGGCATAATTAAGAATATTTAACATGAGAGACCTTTTTAAAAAACAAATGACTAGAAATAATCTTGCTGGATTACAGGTACCCTTGAAAAATACATAGCTGATGTAAGTTCTATAACGAGATCCACTTTACTTAAATGGATCAATATAAACTATCAAAAATATAAACTATCAAAAATATAAACTAATCAGCAAAACGACCAAAAATAAACAATTGAGTTAGACATAGATAAAATAGCAAAAAGGGGACAAAACGATTGAATAATCTATAAATATAACTTAAAATATAAAAATATATGACATGATAAAAGAGGATCTGGTATATATCAACATTCATTACAAATAACTAATCAGTAAAATTACTGTATACATATATTTAATAATTAAACCAATTATATTTAAATAGTAAAAAATAAAATAAAATGAACTAGTAGGAGAGAATAAAATTGTTAAATAGTGGGATAAATTTAAAAAGATTAAGCAAAGTAGGACATGGATCAGTATATAAATCTACGAACAAGTATATAATAAATAGTTAATTATAACTATACTGATTGCTTGTAAGAAGAGTGACACGAAATCAAAAAGTATTATTTTACAGAAGAAACGTTTAAAGTCTGCATATTTAATAACATTACTTAACTAATCTTAAAACCACGGTTTGGAATTGGTAATTTAAAAAATCAAAATCGAATCTGATCAATATTTTTATCTGGAATTTTTAAAATCATAAGTGAAAACAAATGACAATAATAATAATAATTCCTGAGTTTTAGATCAGAAATATATTTTTTTGTAATCTCTATGTTTTTTGTTTTAGTGTGCAGTGGCAGATGAAGAATGTGGTTCTCACATATTAACAACAAAACATCTTTATTTCCGAAATTTATTAGATTTTGGCTTACAAAAAATAAAATCTGGTGAGTCCACTCCAACGACTTTCCAACCTATTCTAGAACAGCTTTATATATGTCCACCAAAAAAAAAAAAAAAAAAAAAAAAAATGAATTAGATCTGTTTTCTTGAAAATTCATCAAAGAAAAGATTTGAAAAACTAAGGCAATGTAAACCGACTCAAGGTAGATCAGTGTGAAAGATTTTTGTATAGTTTTATAGGAAATTTCATTACCTTTCAAAAAAACAGGCTACACTGAGAGGATTCTGGAATGTTTAGATCCGTCGAAAACCGCAAATCGAAAATTTGATCCGATCGCAATACTTTCCTTACCTAGTATAGGTAGGAATGTAAAAAATAACATATTATATATGTATGTATGTATATAGTGCAGCCACCACGTGCACAATTAAAGATATTTTAGAAATATATTATTAAAAAATAGGTGCATTAATAATGTTTATATACATATTAATATTTATTTGAGTGTAAAATGTGATATTTATTTTCTAGTCAAAATTTTTTACAACACAATTTAATCAACATTATTTATGTAAAACAACATCAAGCTGTGAGTGATCATTATTATTAACCGAATAAATAAATATAAAAGATCTATTATGAATTTCAAACAGTAATCCAAAACTTGTTTGTTTAAAAAATAACGTTAATCTTCATTTTATTATCATTTCATCATGAATTGTCAAATTAAATTGTAATAATTTAATTCTAAATTTTAAATTATATATATATATATATATAAATGTACGTATTGTATAAGTTATATATCTGTATCCTATTAATACTTGGCAAAAGTTAAACGAATGACTGAAAAGTCAATCTGTCGAATAAGCTGAAAGGGCAGGCTGGGGCAGAAGTCCTTGATGTCGAAGACAAGTTGGAACTCGAGTTACAATATAGACCTACTTTGTGCACGACACTCAATATTGGATGGCAAACTCTTGCACAAGACACACAACCGGCGGACCGAAGAACAAACAGGGCATCCAAAATGAAACGGAACCTCGGTATTCCAATAAGCGGATTTTAATTACGAGACTCCGGGGGGCGAAGATGCCTTTGGGGAGATTTAACGGTTGAGATCTGATGAATGCGTTTGGCAGGATATTGAAGAGGCTATATGAGTAATATCTTGTAAGGGAGGGAGGTCGGAGTAATCGCAGCTAATTCGGGTTATCCTTAAACGAGGATCGTAGAAGAAGTCCTTTAACAAAGATGCAGGAGGAAACTCGTGGGAACTGGAAGGATATTAAAACCCGATGACAAAAGGATCATACAGTATACACTGGAAGGGTACCTTCTTCGCCTTCCTTAGTCGGAACTAGCTGGAGCGAAAACCTCTCTACCTGACGTCTTGAGGTAATAGCACTCAACACAATGGCTAGCTGAGGTTTTGATTCCTGGAAGCCTCATTGTTGCACAAAATGGCTACGGGAACAATCTACATCTTCCAGAGCTTGGAGAGGAAATGTGCAATCAAGAAAATCCAATCAATTTGTCAACAGTTCCTTAGGACTGTCAACAGGTATATAACCCTCACAGTTTAAAAGGCAATAAGTCCAACACATTTATCCAAAACGTTTAAAATAATAATACTTCATTTTTTATCATCATCTAATATTTATTTATTGTTTTTATTATAAATAAATGTAAGAACGTCTACATCCTGAATTTTAAATATGTGAGGCGTACGTCAAAATGTAAGATAGTACATATCCATGTTTGTATTAAAAAATTTTAACTTACATTTTCACGTGATTTAATTTTTTTTTTATTTCTTAATTATATGATGATTACAACTGTATTGAAAAAATCCGTTTAGTAAATTTGAACATGTGAATAATGACGTGAAAACACTTAATGAGAAACTACCCGATAGTATGGTAGAACTCTAATTATATTATTTTCTAAAGTTGTAAATTTATTAAGTGATTTTATAATGGTGTAAATATGCAAAATGTAATTATTAACAGTATATAGGCGTGGATGTGTTCCATTTACTTTAATTTCATTTAGCTTTACTATTTCATTTTATGTACATACGCCATTTTTTTTTTTTTTTTTTTAATTCGGAAATATTACATGTATGTCACAATTAAGGAAATTTGTAATAGTGTTCACACTCTATTTACAATAAATAATATAGAACTAATAATAATAAAAGTAAATGTATATAAACAAAAGAATTAACCTAATCAAAATAACAACTAAAACACATGCATACTATACAATATTTACAGAATCCATTCACTCAGGAGAACTCCGAGCCAAGCCTTTCTTACCACTTGTGGAAGGAAAGGCAGGACTCGAGGAGATCCCAGCGCCTTTCACTCAGTTATATTAGTGGTATTAAGAACCAGTAGAGGCTGAGGAGAGGCGCTTTAATCATACATACTTGCCTTGAGAGGAGGATCTGGCCAACTCCAATATATGCTTATTCACAAAAGGTCTCTGGTTCAATGCCGCTTCAACCTTCGAGGAGGATTGCAAGGATGGGTGGTGCTAGATAGGGATTGTGCAAGGATATTTAGTTAAAATTCGGTGAAATTCGGAGAATAGCAGGCATAATAATTTAGTTTTTTTATTCTTTCCATATTTCTTTTTCTTTATTATCTCTATCTTAGTCATTATATGTATGTACATATTGTGTGAATGATTAATGTAGCCTTAATATTAATGCCCTATAATGTAGGTAGAATGTAGAATATTCAATAAAAAAGAAAATATTAACAGTAAGTGTGAGGTCATAGTATTATGACACCACAGGTGTAAGGTAAGCATCAGACATCGTGGTATTATTGACACTATCGCTGGATTTAGTCATAACATTGCTAATCCTTTCCAAACTGAGAACATCCTCCTCCATTATGGATTCGATAATGAGGGGCTACACCTGACGTAATATCGATGTTCTTTAGCTCCATGGAACCACAACACGTCATTAGGAGCTATCAACAACACACATCGAGTATTTATAGGAGGCCGTGGAAGGCAGCACCAATGATGTAACGATATTAAGATATTGTGAAGGGCGTATGTTGTCATTGCGGAACTACTCTACATCAATCCATCGATACTTGATTCGATAGCTGATAGTTTCCGAAGCCCTTCACTTATTCACAGGAATAGTGAAAAATTGATCAGCCCGGCTTCTTGAAATAATCATACGTCGCGGGATGTTTATTGACGAGTTCGTCCTATAGATGGCCGTTCATTATGTATGAGAGAAAGAGAGATAGAGTAAGGGGAAGAGAACTGAAAAGAAACAAGAACTCCAGCGAGACCATTATCGCCGGGAATACACAACTCCACCAAAGAGGAGACTAATTCTTATTTCATGACCTTATGAACTGCTATTATTCCCTTGAAGCTTCTCAAACGGTTATTTCTACCTCTTCGTGCTTACCTCAACCACTTAAATTTACTCTAGTAAGAACAAAACAAAAACTAAGCGTTTTCCTTGTATAAAAATTCACGAACCCAAATAGTAATTTTAGTAAAATATTTACTGAGAAACCGCCTTGTTCTATTTCAACAAGAGAAAAATTTACACTATGTAAAACACGGCAAAATGGATCCATATTACGACTCTCAAGAGTGTTCTTTTAACAAACGAGATGTCTAACGAAAAAAAATTTCATGCAAAACTGATAATCTCCAATTTTAATCCTTAGATTCATAGCACAACATTATTAAATGTTACTTGAAACAACTAAAAATTATTAAATAGAAAGATCGATTAAATTATTTCATATATAAAAAAAAATAAATAAAAAAATAAGGAGTGTGTTTTAGACCACACAATATAACTGAAAACATTAACAAGGCTAGATTAATAATATGAAATATAAATTATAAATAACAGCACATTATGAAGAGATTTCATCCTCTTTAGAAAGAGGATGAAATGCTGAACAATTCTCTCGCTTACAGTATGCAGATCCGATTTTTAATTTCTGAGATATTTTAATCCACATCTATAATAAAACTTGTTATCATTTGGTTTTCGAAAATTATTCCAATTCTTTATCACAATTCAATCAGACGGTGGCTAAATATTCATTATGTAACAAGATGTTAATTTTCTTTAAACATTATTTTTTTTATTCGGTATTGAATATGAAAAAGAATTTTCATTACCTTTCACAAACCACTGTCAGTAGATATAATTTGTTTTTCCTAACTTCTACTTTTCCTATTCATAAGATTGTATTTCTTTGAAATTTATGTGATTTTTACTTATCTTCGACATAATATATGTGTGTATATTACTGCTCTCTATGTGTATATATAAATTATTGTCTAGTTCTTCACATCTTCATGTGTTTTCACTTAAACTTCTTAGGAAGCAGATGTAAATTATTTATTTACTCTAGTTATATTTTATATTTTTCAATTTTATCACTACAACGGTTTACCTATAAATTTTATTTGGCGTTGCTTTCTAGTTCCATTTAGTTATTTTATGTCATTGTTTTAGCACCAATGTTGTATTATTGCAACCCTGTTGCTCATCTGTTTTCGTTAATATATCCTAAGAGCTATGTATATAATTATTTTATTAGTTATATTATAGTAATTCTTTATTGTAGTAGGTCTTTTGAGCAGATTTATTGTTAATTGTTATGAGCAATATTGTTATACTTAAGAGACCTAGTCCCAGAATAAAAATCATTTTCTTATTCTATTTCTATTTTTCCCTTTTCGCCTCTCTGATACTTCTCGTTGTAAGATACAATTTTAAATAATATCTCATTATGAAGAGGATGAAATGATAAATATTTCCCTCACTAACAATATGTAGGTCAGATTTTTCGTTTTTAGATATTTTAATTCATAAGAAAAAACGATTGGACCCCAGCCGACTTTATCCGAGCGTTACACATCGGAGATCTGACGGCTCAATTTAATTCACTCTTCAAAAAAAGTGCAAACTCTCATAAATAAGTTTTTATTTCAAAAATGAATTTGTTTTTTTGCTAATATTTTATAAAATATTTGTTTAATTGAGCTAAGAAACTGAGAGTCGATAAGATGAAGTTTGTCTTGAATGTTCAATTTACAACTGTCAAACAAACAGGCATGTAAGAGATCAGATGAGTTTGTAAGAGCTTTGGATGGGAGAGTGAATTGCTGAAGGCTTATTCTTTAGGCATATAAATAACCTCGTATAATTTTTAATTAACATCTCGTTCACGAGTAATTGAGTTCAAGTTCAAAAGGATCGAAACTAAGTTATTTATTATGTTATTGTAACTAAATTCTTACATTTTCTCAACAATATATTTTACCGTCTTTAGACCTGTCCCCTTGGACCTATGTACTAAAACTATTGGAGCGGAACATTCGAACAACAAAAATATTTAATCATTGCAGTCCTAAATTTGGAGAACTTAGGTGTAACTGTCGTTTATTTTTTATTACGTTCACGGATTCAGGATTTAATTTTGGAGGCTTCAGCCCGTAAGATTTTTTAAAAATTTATATAACGATAATTGCTTTGAAATAAAAAAGAAAGACTAACAAACAACAAGAGCTTTTGTCTCGACATCTAAATGATAGCTCTGATGATGACTCATATGGTTGGATCGAAACCAAAAAGAGATTCAATGAAATCGGTGACGCAACGTAACTTTATTTTGGAAGACATGATATAAAGAATAATTTTATTGAACAGAAAAGTGACATATGTCTGCCATTGTAAGAAAATCAAGAAATAATTAGTTAGCATAGTAAAATAAATTTAAAATTAAAATAGAAGCACATAATTGTACATAAATATATATATATGAGTGTGTTCACTTATTTGTGCTGATTAGCTGATAATATGTAAGTAACAGAAAAATGAAGGTGACAGCTCTTTAATAAGAAAATTTTATTCTTACATGTTTTCGGAAGATTGATTGCTGAAATGTGGAAGAATAAATTTTATTTAAATGAGGTTAATTTCACAATAACTTACATGGACATACTAACACACTGATAACATGGCCACGATTAACATGACCGAAAACACCCCTCGAAGGCTCAAAAGAAGCTGGATGAAGGATTTTCTCACCTTGAAATATACAGAATTCAAGTGAAGAAGGGATGCCGCTGGGCACTCCTTTCCCTCACGCCGATCAAGCCACTATTAGAATTTCCCGACAGCAGACTTGCTATTTGTTAGAATTTCTTCAGTACTTGTGGGAAAAAAATGAAGTTAAGGAAGAGGATTTTCGTACGAAGGTAGGTAAGGAACTAAAAAAAAAAAAAGGTAGCACGCATTACAAAGGATTTTTTAAAGGAAACGGTTCTATGAGAGAAAACAAACAATTTTATAGGTTGAATCTCGTGTAAAACTAATTAACCGAGGAACAAGGAGTAAATTAAACAATTTAAGGAGGCTTTTTGGTAGTAATTCTTCGGAAAAGAAATACATCTAGAAAATAATACCGTCAGAAAACTGGAACCACTTCAACTCAGCGTACCAACTGGAGACGTGAAAACTCCTGGAGACTCTAAACATAAATTTAATGAAACTATTATGAATATAGATTGATGTAATCGTGTAACCAAGATTAAGGAAGCATTGGAGAAAAAAATCTTCTTTCTTTTGTTTTCTATGCCTGATTGTTAATTCGTCCAATCCTTCCAGTCTAAAGTCCTTCGAACAATAGTCAATGCTCCATATTATGTCACGAACAAGACCCTACACCATGACCTTAACATCCCATATGTCCATGACATCATACCATCCAGATTCTCCAACTTTCACCAGAACCTCGTTCATCATCCCAATCCTCTAGCGCAATCCCCATCCAGCTCCGAGCATCCATACCATCCCCCTCGAAGGTTGAAACGGCAGTGGCCTCGAGATCTTTTCTAAATATGCCTTTGGAGTCCTGCCAATGGCCAGCTTCTCTACTCATGTCCTCAGCGTCTGTGGCTCTAGTGCCCTCTTTCAATCTCCACTGGTTTCTAATACTAATGATGCGACTGGAAAAGTGGCGCTGGGATCTTCCGGAGTCTTGCTTTGCCTTCCACGTGTGGAGGAAAAAGCCTGGTTCGGAGATTCTTGGGCGAATGAATATATTGTATATAGTTATGATTGTGTTTAGAAGTTTTTATTTTATTTTATTTGTTTATTATTATTATTTTTTCTTTTCTTTTTATTTACCTTCTTCATCAGTATTATTTATTTACTTCTTTTATTTATATTTATTTTTTTATTATTTGTATATGTTGTATGAATGAGAACTTTTAGCCCTAATGCTTATAGCCCTCCAGCAGTGGCTGATTGTATTATTATTCAATAAATAGATAAAACAAAAAAAAGATTGTTAATTCGTATCTTTAGCATGTGCATGTGCTCTTACGTCTTATATCTCTTGTATCTGGACTATCTTTTCTTGATGTTTATATGTGGCATGCCGTACTATTGCATATAGAATAAGTATCTTTTTTGTTATTTTTATTATCTTAAATATCTTCCTATTTATCATTAATTTTTATATAGCAATTATGTTTAAACTTTCTCTTTTTCCTTTTATTTTATTTCTTTTGCTTGGACATTTTATTAATACTGTAAATATTTCTTTCTGTAAATAGATCTGTTAAACTTTTTTTGCTGCTTTATAAAAATATCCAACCTAACCCTTCTCACCTGAGCTAGAATGGTAGGATAAATGATTAATGATGGCCAAATCATGGGTAAGTAACTTATATTCTCTATAATTATATCTCTAAAGATGAAAGGCTAGTAAAGCCAGACGCCCAACGAGGCGCCTTTTTATTTATCCTTTTTTTATTGGTTATAATCTATTAAATCTGATAAGATACGACATATTTTTTAGTTTCGTTAAATACACCTGATGATGAAGATAATTGAACTTATACAAAATTAGGAATGGTCCATTGACTCGGTGCAGAAGATAGCATCTTAAGGACCAGTTGGAGATCAATTTAGCCCCATTGTGCTATTATGAATCGCTAGTTATTTGTTATAAATTTTGCTGTTGGTAATCAGATAGGTATAACCCGAGGTCCGTTGCAATCGCTATCTCGAGATCTGCAGAGGCCATTGTATTCAAAGCAGCCATCGCAGATATAATCCACGGGAGCCAAGTCCTTCCAGAAGAACTAGTTAATGAAAAGTCCTTTTGTGTCCGAGCGGTTTGTTAGTTCTCTTAGAGGCTCCGTATCGGGTCTCCCAGTCGACGTGGCATCGAGTGGCCTTAGTCGTTAGCTAGAGCCAACAGAGCGGCCGAATCCATATTAATTCAATAATAATAATAATAATAATAAAAGGGCTTAGCGAACCCGAAGGTTCGATGCCGATACCCGATACAACCTAAATTTTCACTTCCACCGGATCCAATTCATACTTAAAACTAAATTTATAAATAAATCGAATTTCAATTAGTTCATAATAGAAGATAAGATGGTTGGATAATGTATTCAATGGAAATAGAAAATAAAATTAATTATATTTATTTTCCTTTCGGCATAAGTTTCAGGCCTTCATTACGGCAAATCAAAGATAAAATAACAAAGAAATATTGAGAAAATAGTGTACAGAAATAATAATAATAATATATAGGTAAAATAGTATAGTAGAATAATAATAAGGTAATTAAACATAACGTTAATAAATATGTGGAATAGGAAATATATATCTAAATTTAGGCAGTTATAAAATAATGGTAACAACTCAAGGAAGTTAAGAAATAACGGAACAAACATAGCGTGTGATATAAAAAAAATGGTAATAAAGTAATTATTTAAGCTAGAGTGATTATTTTCAAAAAGTAATATAGAGCTGGATATATTTGTTAGCTGTTATTTTAAAATTTTGAGGATAATATATAGGATATATATAGCTATAATATATCTATAATAATATCTAGGATAGGCTTACTTTTTTTTTTAGATTTTTCATTAGGCCTGATAAGAGAGTGGGGTAGCTCAGAAGTAGAGTACTGAGCTTGCAATTCTAAAGGTTCCAGGTTCGAATCCCAGCTCATGGCAGAAAAATTATTTATTCTGTTTCATTGGCCGAGGGACAACCCTGGGGTAGCGAGACCCTCCTGGGGCACACCCAGCCTCTATAAAGTGGGTAGAATTAATTAAAATAATAAATTAAGGGGAAAAACCTGGCGGTTGAGCGTGATCTCTGTCAAATCACCTCCTTGTACTACCGTAAACAAAGAAACAGGGCTTTCCCTAAATAGTACTAAACCTGAAACCCTTCATGGATTTTAGTGGTAAAGGTTTTTTTTTGGCCTGCCGAAGTTTTGACACACAAGAAGTTCTTATTTTTAAAAAAGACAGTAACGCGTTCATTCTCACTTCTTTGCCTCAACACGAGATGATATAGATTAACCAGTTGTTCTTGTAAATATTCCTTTATTGGCTCTTCTCTTCATCACTGATTCCTGATTTCTCCAGTTATCGCGCAGAGGATTTCTCTTTTCCATTTATCCAGAATGCTTATAAAGCAGAAACTAAATAGATGACACCACTGTACACCCTTAAATTGAGGTATTTAATTTTACATCCAAATCGTTTAAAAATATAATTAAAATGTGTAAATTTTTTTATTATTTTTTTTTTTTGCCCTTCCCATCCTCACCGTCTAAAGCTATACGGAGTATTGCCAAGCCAGTGGGTGAGGGCGGTGGATTAATATCAGCGTTAAATAAAAGTCCCCCTCCCTCGGATACTGGTATGTGAACTCGTAATTATTTAATCTAGTTAGCTTTGCCAGACAGCGCGGTTCTGTACATCGCCCCTTTACCTACCGTATAGACATTTTTGAGGAGACTTGGTTATTTGGATCGCAATACTTTCTCTATTATATATTCCATGTATTGGTAACCAAATGTAAAATGAAGGAAAACTTAGTAAATAAGTATTACTGCTCATGTTTTTTTTTCTATTTTAAAAATTATAATTATTATTCGATTAGTCTCTTCCATTGATCCTAGGATAGAATCTCTTATAAATTGCATAATATTCACCGATACATGTTGATTATGTCACGTAGCTAATTGCAGGTATGAGAGAAGATAGCCGGACTAGACAGACCGGCATAGCCCGGATTACAATTTGACCAATAGAAAGCGAGCTAATATTCGAGTCAGGCACTGAGGCAAGTTAACTGGTTAAATTGTTATGTTAGCAGGTTCCTAATTGGCCCAGACAATCTGTTGACCCTCGCAGCTTCATTAGTGAGCTCAGGACTGGCAGGCCGATATATTTGTCCTCTCCCGACGTGACTCGGATCTGGTATCTAATGCACGCTCCTGGGACGTTTATTGGGCCCTGATAGGGAGCCGGTGTTTGGCGGGCTGGAAGGTGGGTGATGTGAGGTGTACGAGAGCTTTCGGAATGAAGTGGCCAAGCCGTTGAATATTCGACGATAACGATATATTTTTTTTTTTTTAAATTAATGTGAACTAAGTTTTCCATTAATATTTCGTATGAATCCAATTCATGGCTTCATAAGTTTTCTTTCAGATCTACTACGTAATAGTAAAGTATTTTACATTGATAAATGTTAAAAAGTGAGTATATTGCTAATATCCGTTAACCCAATTAGGTACTCCAAGCAATCCGAAAGGAGACTTTTTCACAATGAATGTCTCAATCGTTGGATAGTTAGCAATCAAGAAAAATGCATAGAAGTTCATGCAGATGACAGGAAAGAAATAGTCCAAGATAGGCAGAGATTATGAGAATAATAAAAATATATCCATTGCCTTATTTTCACTTTCTTACTTTTAACATTTGATAATCATTCATTATATTCAGTGTTTTCTTTATCAACATATATTTTAAAAATATAACTTTCTTATTCTTACAGAACCCTTAGATCCTTTGCAGCCTTATTCATCTTTGTCTATCTTGGGCTATTTTTTTTCAGTTATCTGCATACTATTTCATCTCTGTTAATTCGATCTATCCACATGAATTTTTGTCTTTCACGTGATCATTTGCCCACTATTGAGTCATTCCTAGTTGTGTAAAAGCTTCTTGATATATTACAGCAAGGTACATTCCTGCCCAGCTTAATATCCTTGCCTTTATATCGTCAGATATTTATTGGCCACTTTATATAAGCAGTTCTTTATTATTAATTTTTGCGCTACACTTGATATTAAGCATATGAGTATTGAATATAGAAAAATATTATTTATTACCGATTTCATAAAACTACACGGAGTTATCAACAGGCTTATAAACATGGCTACAGGTGAATTGCCTATTAATAGGTGACTGAAAAGAAGCTGGATGAAAGATTTCCTATCTTGAATTAATGAACTAAATCAAGTCCTGGAAGAAGTGCTGCTCATGAAATCTAACGACATGAAGATGGTTTTCACTCACACATCTGACAGGTGCGAATAAAGATGTGAAGAAGGACAAATAATAATACAATACCTAAGATAATGACTAATGTAAAAGTATTTAGACTTTATTTCATTATTATCAGTTTAATTCTAATAAGTTATGATATAATCGTTTAATGATATATAGGCAGAATCGTTCCTGGACTATAATCAAATGTAAACGATCAAAGTAATAATATGTGACAAAATATAAAAATAAAAAATAAGATGAAGAAATATAACAGAAGGATACACTTCGCTACAGTAGTAACAATCATAATTCATAAAGTAGCTAAGTGGGGCTCTAACTTTGACAACTAAGCACTTGGGTAACAAATGCTTTTCAAGTGGAAACTTAGCTCAGAGTTGTGCAAACCAACATAAACTCGTAACAAACAAAAAAAAAAAAGAAGTAAATACGAATTTACGAGACCTCTTCTTTTTTCACGACAAGAAAATTGGGAAATGAAGTCTGAATTGGGAAGTGGGATATTGTCCACGATATTTCCAGTTGTGGTTTCCAGTAAGCCTCCCAAATGTCTCTTTTATGACAACACGCAAAGGCTCGTTAAAAATTTTACTGCCTCCGTGTGATTTTAGCGCTGGCAACGAAAGTGCGGTTCGTGTCTGATGTGGACTTTAAAAGGCTAGGAAATATATTAAAAGTGACCTGAGAAAAATAAAATATATCTGAAGAATTGGAGGAAAAATATTACATATTTGAATACCGCTTTATTTACTCTTTGATAAAATAAAATAAAAAAAAAAAAAAATATATATATATATATATATATATATATATATATATATATATATATATATATATATAAATATATATATATATTTAATTTATTTTTCTTTTTTTTAACAACCAGTAAATGTGCTGAAAATACAAGATATAAATGACATATGAGGCATGGGGAAGTAAAGTACTCAGCAGTACCTCTTCCCTAACTTGTTCCAATTACTTAGGTTGTCTAAAGAAGGAGATCTCTCATCCAACGCCTTTTTAGTCTCCTGCTCATGTTCTCAGGTATGTCAGCTGTGGCCATGTCTCTTATTAATTTATTGTGATGTCCTTTTAAATGTGTATAATATCATTGATAAAGGATTGTTATATGTTGATCAACTGTTGGAAGGTGGAGGTCAGTATGTAGAGTTTATTTATTCATTTTTAAATTTTATATTTCAAAAAGAGAGAAAATCAATCCAACAATAATATTTTCAATTAATAAGTTTTCTTCTTAACCCTATCAATACTGGCTGCTCTAACCAAAACAAACATATCATATAACAACGTAGGTTTGTCTGATCAGCTGATTAAAAATACTTTATTTTACATAAATTTATTCCAAATAATTTATAAATATAGCAGAATCAAATTTCTTGGAAGGACACAGTAACATTGTAGAACAGAAGTGACCTAGATTCTACATGTTTAAATGAAAATAAAGGCCTTACTTAAATACGCGACTGAAATTACTCTACTCTATTTTTCTCTAAATCATCAAAACTTAAAATAAGACAGGATTAAAATAGATAAATATTTTTAAAATAAACTTCACGGACTTAACAATAGACTGATTAATAATAAAAAGCGTCTAAAAGGTACCGCTGGATTAGTTTTTTTTTTTTAATTTATGATATTTATAACTGTATTAGAAATAAAAATATATTCAGTAAATGTGAAATTCCAGTATAATAACATAGCACCCAGCAGTACCTCTTCTCTGATTTGAATCAATTACCGTGGTTCGTCAAGGAAGAAGGTCTCTCATCCAGCTCCTTTTT